GGTGAGAAGTTCGGATGTCTGGGAGGGCCTCAGAGTAGAACCTCTGCTTCTTCATGTCGAAAGGAGCCAGGTGAGGTGGTTTGGACATCTGGTGCGGAAGCCTCCTGGGCGGCTACCCGGAGAGGTTTTCCGTGCATGTCCTACAGGGAGGAGGCCCCGGGGCAGACCCAGGACTCGCTGGAGGGATTATATCTCTCGGCTAGCCTGGGAACGCCTCGGTGTCCTCCCCGAGGAGCTGGTAGAGGTAGCTGGTGAGAGGGAGGTCTGGGTGCCTCTACTGAAGCTGCTACCCCCGCGACCCGAACCCCGGACAAGCGGTAGATGATGGATGGATGGATGGAGTAAAGTTTTATTACATGCTTGACATTTTGAACATTGCAATATTGCGCTTGGCCATGTAGAAGTTCACAGAGTGAGTGGTGAAAAATGTAATTAAAAGTGCTTAAGTCACTGGCAGAATTCACGTAAAGATTATTTACATGGGACATACTCATATTCTGCTGCATCTCTGCCCATAGGGGTCATCTCTCCCATGCGTAAGTCAAAAATGCACATAGCTGTGTACTTTTTTCACATTTTTCACCATCAACTTAAGTCTGGGGTTTATGTGTATTTAGGTCATTTACACACTTTGGGCAGTGAAACACCAAAATATGGGTGCTTTAAGTGCTTTTTTGACTTAAATGCCCAATAGAATAGACCAAACTGCTACACTTAAGTCAATGCAAAAGCACACTTACGTGAAAAAAGTGCACAGCTACCCACTTTGTTGATTAACAGCCATTGCATACTTCATTTTTGCAACATGTGCTTTCGGTCGCACATAGGGAGAAGTGATGCAAATTTTATCAACAGGGCTTTGTTGCAGACAGCTGTGGTCAGTTCGCATGTACCCCACATTTTTGTGTTTAGCAGCGATTGTGCCCCCCTGTGTATGCGAACTGTTAATGTGTAAGATAATTGACTAGGTATTTCTAGTAGGTGGCAGCATGACCTTCCACAGATCAGCGTCAATGATAAAAGGGTAAAGAAAAAATAATTGCTGTCATTGTTGTAGTTATGTGAGCAGCTGTATGAGGAGGGTTGGAGGTACCCGCATATCAAATTTTTCATACAGTCCAGACATTATACCAAGGTATACGGTATTTTAAAAAGCACATTTTAAAACATACTGGCATTTTGAAATCTTGACGATAACATTCACTAAGCAGGGATGGAGAGGGAGGGCAGTCCCAATTCATTTTGTTATACGGATTTCAAAATACTGCAGTATGCCACATTACTTTAATACTACCCAAGCCTAGACTAACAACATTAAAACGGTTCATAAAAAAGTTCCCATCTTGCTAGACTGCTTGTATTTTTGTTTGTTGCAATACATCTGGCCTCTCCTGGTCTGCAGTCAAATGTAGTATGAACACAAGCTGCTGTGCACACGACCATCTGCAGCCGAAAGCACACGCAGAAATGTGAAGTATCAAGGCTTAACATGCATGGGAGACTTGTCCCGAAGTGAGAAGCTCAGGCATTCCAGAGCGGTTCGAAGTAGAACTGATGCTCCTCAGCATTGAAAGGACCCAGCTGAGGTGCTTCAG